TTTGTCAAAATATTACATCATTTCTTTTTAGTGTTAAGCATCTTTCAGCCATCTTAAAAAAAAAACAGAATATGCCTGCATTTTGTACCAATCTACCTTCACATTTTACCTAATTCTACACATGGACTGCTTCATACAGCAGAATGCTTTGAATTCTCCACTAAAATATTACAGTTTTGGCTTTTTGGGTGCATGCAAACACGTCGATACTTCAGTGGCAGTACACGAGGAAGATGATCATGTGGTGAACGTTTGTCTTGCGCACTGAACAAACTTAGAGATGGAGGAGAGGCTGTGTGGTAAGTCAGCCGGATCATCACTGTCCAGTGAGAGGATCCAGGATGCATCGATGCTTCCCCTTATTAAGCGGCTCCGTCTTTACCTCTCGAGGTCATGTAGCTTTTTTGTATATACAACTATTTAATATGTTGCCCATTTACCAAATCTATAAACAATGACTTCTGTACAATATGACTTTAAATTCGTTGATGAAATTATGTAATTTTTAAGAGATGCAAATGATTATTACAGCTTTTCCAAAACTTAATGTTACTAAGCTGGCCAAACATGCGACCTGTTTATGAAAAGCACATGAAATTTGGACAAAGATGCCATCAAAACTTGTAGAGGATGAGACGCTTGCACCGCCTACCCCCTTTCCCCCCTCTTCCCCCATCTTCCCCCATTCCCCCACCATCCCCCATTCCCCCACATCACAAGATGCACACGGTCCTGGGTCTTGTCACTGTCAGGTTTATTCCAACACACGTCGTAAGCTGCCACTGATGCCGATGTGTTAATCTTTTTTTAGTGGAAGTTTGTGGAGGGAAGGCCACGCGGTAGCAGAGTCGGTTGCTCACCTTCTTTTGTGTAATAAAATCAGCCATATTTTGATACCTATCCATAATCCTTCTCCGCATCATTTATTCATCGACTTCAGAGCTCATTTCCTTTTTTTTCTAGTTACTATATTCCCTCCCTCACTTTCCTCTACCGACTCATGATTCAATTCTGCCAAGATGTTCCTAAGTGAGAGATAAGCACACTAATCTCCTGGGAAGTATTCCTCAACGCTTCGTTGCTCTTCGCCCTCAGAAGAGGCAGAAGACACTCTAGGTAGGAATGATTAGTGTGTTTATCAGGAGTTGAGGCACACTTGTGGCAGAAACCTTCAAATGTGTTAACATTTCCGACTGTCCTTATACTTTAACTTTAAACACCGACTTTAACCGCAAAGTCACTCAAACTTTAATCATAACGTGACGGCTTCTCTGACTAGGTCATTATTTTAGAAGACCAAGCCACACTTTGGAGCTCTCGACTCTTTTTCAGTCAAGACGGCGACCTTTGTTGCTGTCTACCACCCGGCTCTTCACCGTCGCCAGCCGCAGCTGCCTTACCTATCACACACACTATTACTGCCAACCCCTCACGGACCACCTGGTGTGTGCTTCTTCCTACCACACACTCACACGCCGACGACAGATAGTCCGAGAGAGTCCAGACTGCAGAGACGGTGACCAGCGTGTGTAAGGTTAGGTGGCAGTCGGACTGTGAGTCAGGAAATACAAATTTGTATTGGATTCATTCATAAAAGGCAGATCGTTCAGACTCTCAGGTATTAGACCTAACCCTCATCTCTTTCTCGTTAGTAATGTTTTCTGTCACCAGAAGTAATTTAAAGAGTCTTACAAGCTCTACCTTTTCTGAAGGTTATGATGACGAGGCTCGTGGGAGATGAGCGGTGTTGCGGGTTGGGGATGTAAACCTCTCCTGGGATACTCGCTTGAGTAGAGCACCGTCAGCTGCACCATTCCTAATCTTATCCTCTGTAGAGCTGTTTAGACATCCTGTTAGCTCTGTTTCAGCGTCCCACCGGCAGTGCTGAGTCCCACATCTTCCCAGGCATCGCCAAGCACCACCAGTAACCTTCACACCTCAGTCATTACTTCCCTTATTTTCTCTAAGCCATATTTCTAGACATGTTTATTTATCCTACCCATCAAGAAAAGTGAAAACGAAAATGATCACAACATTTTGAGTTCATCACCTGAAGTAAGAACAGTATATGGTCACTGGGACGAGGAAGTGGCGGCCTCTAGCGAGGTCAGAGACAATACCTGCATCGTGCCACCCTAATCCGGCTTTAGCTTGTCATTTTCCTCCTTGTTGTCGTACAAAAGAAGTTGCATGATCATGGGTAGACTAATCTATTGTAGCCGAGTAGATATGGGTTAGAAATGAGGACTTTAGTCGTCCCTTAGTGCTTCTCAACCTAACTAGGGCGCCTCCCTCCCTCCCTCTCTCCTCCCCTGGGAGCCGCACACCCCCTCCCTCCCCCGCTAAGTGCCGGACCCATAATAGCCGAAGGCCTGAGAGCCGGACTCTCTGGAGCCTAACCCTAAGGAAGCAGGACCCATGAGGGCCGGACTCATGAGGGCCGGACCCATGAGAGTCGCGCTCCCATGAGAGCCGTGCTCCCATGAGACCCGTGCTCCCATGAGAACCGTTCTCCTATGAGAACCATATTCCCATGAGAGCCGAACTCCCATGAAAGCCGTACTCCCATGAGAGCCTGACTCCATGATAGCCGGACCTATGAGAGTTGAACTCCCATAAGTTCCAGATTCATGAGAGATGGACCTCGGGAAGCAGGATCAACGGGAGTTGGACCCATGAGAGCCTGAACCCCAGGAATCGAACACCCAGAGAACCGGTCCACCCAGGAACCAGACAAATGAAAACAGAACCCGTCCCTTCCCCATCGCCCCCCGGGAGCTGGATCTCTGGGAGCTCAACCCCCAGAGAGCCCACCTCCCAGGACTCGCTAACCACCCAGTGCACCGCCTGAGTGCACGAGTCCACCGGCTGAGTGCAGCTGCACCTCTCCCAGTCAGACTCCCCAGAGCCTTCCCTCTAGTAAACCACAATAATTGAAGCAGCAATCTCTTTAGTAACTAAAAAAAAAAAGAAGCCAATCCCTTATCCTTAGCTTCAAACTACTGGACAATGCACGTTGGTGAAGGCTTCTGTAATTTTCTCATACTGAGACATCCAGCGAGTCCTCAACAGTTATGCTTCAGTGCATAGTCTACCCAGTGATAATATATGTTTAAAACAACCAAGGGCGTTTAGAATATCGAGAAGAGGTTTGTGGCCACCCAGGAAAAGGCGTCCTTGCGAGTAGGCTTGCTCGTCCGTGTAAAGGCTCGAAGCCTTCTTTTTTAATAGGCTTAAATTTTATTAGTGAATTAATAAATTTTGTGTATGTTAGTATGTGAAAAATTTAGCAGTGTTACGTGTTGACTGGTGGATGCAGACTGGGAGACCTGGACCCGCCAGTCACCATGTACAAAACATGAAGACTGGAGTGAAAGTAGCCTTGTAACCTCAGGGAGGTTACAAGGCTTCCTGGCTACCTGGATAACATCTTGGGATAACCTGGAATAGTACCTCCAGCAGTCATAAGTTGTGATATATTGTGTCTGAGGTGGAAGTGGCCTAGAATCTTGCAAGGCTTCCTAGAGTAACCTTGAAGACTGCCTAAGGTGACCTTGAAGGCTGCCTAGGAGGCTTCCTGAGGTCTGGAAAGCTCTCCTTACGAGGCTGAAAGAGTCCTAAGGTCTGGAAAGGTCCTTGAGGCCTGGAAAGCTCCCTGAAAAAGCCTGGAAAGCTCCCTGAGGAAGCCTGGAAAGCTCCCTGAGGAAGCCTGGAAAGTTCCCTGAGGAAGCCTGGAAAGCTCCCTGAGGAAGCCTGGAAAGCTCCCTGAGGAAGCCTGGAAAGCTCCCTGAGGAAGCCTGGAAAGCTCTCACCAACAGGCACCATACGCGCTTATCTCAGGCCCAAATTTTTTATATTATTTTAAGGGGGGTTGTTGTGACTAGTTGTATATTACAACATTAAACACTGACTAAACTTATCCTGCAGGAGTATACTTTCAAATCACTCTTCTTCTAAGAGTAAACTTTGTTTCACTCTTCCTATGAAAGTAAACTGTAGCTTGGATACTCTTCTTTTCATCTATTAATGTCAAACAGCTTGATAAATTTCAAAACATAAAAAAAATATATATAAAAATTCGGGCATTTCTAGATCGCTGTTTTACACACAAAAAATATATATTTATAATATGTTGTGTTGCTTTTGATGTTTTAAAAGTTAAATTCAAATTATTGTCATGTAAACATTGATAATCTTTGTTTAGCTACAGGAAGGAAACGAGTGAGAGTAAGTGAAGCACTTAAGCTACTCAGAGGCACTTGTAGGTGAACACTCACTGATAAAACTTTAGTTGATATGAGTACCATGCAGTGTGTGTGTGTGTGTGTGTGTGTGTGTGTGTGTGTGTGTGTGTGTGTGTGTGTGTGTGTGAGTGTGTGTGTGACAGTTCCCGTGATTGTGTATTTTTGAGCGAGTGTGGAGGCTTACATTATTTTACGTAAAAATGGAGTAAATACTGTCAGAGAGGAGTGTTTAAGTGTATGCAATGAATTCTTCGCCTCTCATCCCTCCCACCTCACCACTCTCTCCTCTCCCCATTACACCCTCCCCCACCCCCACCCCACTATCCACAACCCCTCCTCTTTTTCCATACATCCACACGAAAGCGAAATGCGTCATTTCACTCTCGTCACACCACTTCTACTCTTTTCATTTACTCCTTCCTCTCCTTTATCTTCGTCGGTCCTCTCAACCTAACCCTCCTCTTCAACATTCACTCTTAAGCACTCCACATCCTCTGACTCCCTCACCTATCTAGCACACCCCCTTCCCACCGGTCTTCTCCCCCCAGCCCCCTTCCTTCCCTTCCCAACTGGATATCGCATACATGAGTGTGCGCGTTTGGGTTACAGCTGAAGCAGGTGGAGGAGTACATGGCGTACCGCAAGCTGCCGCGTGAGCTGCGCACCAGGATCACAGAGTACTTCGAACACCGCTACCAGGGCAAGTTCTTCGACGAAGAAATGATCCTGGGAGAACTATCGGAGAAACTCCGTGAGGTAGGTTCTCCATTCTGCATTAATATATCTCACTCCAAGTGGATTTATTTAACTTTTCACCCATATTTTCCTCTGTTGCATCCCATTCACCAGTTCAGCTCTGACACCAATTCTCCATACTTAATCTCATCAGTCATCGGTCCCCATATCAGCCACGCATTCTTATATCAGAGTAGACACGAATGGTCTGAGTTCATCTCAGATGACTCGTGGAATTCTATATCTTTCATGGCCTCTCCTCAGCCTTCGAGTTGTGGTTGGGACCTTGCTTCAGGCATTCTTTAAGCTACATTATTATTGAAGCATCTATGGTCTCTAGTTCTAGATCCTTGAATTGCAGATCTTCAGACCATCTCATACGATGGTTCTAGCTCCCGGTCCCAACATTACTACCCCACCTGATATCTATTTTCTTTATTTTTCACCTTCAAATGTCATTGGTCTAATGAGCTGACACACCATCTATCTGCCTATAAACCCTGACACACCATCTATTTGCTTATAAACCCTGACACACCATCAGACATAAGAGGCCTCACCTAGCACTACCAACACCAAGTATCCATCACTTCAGTGAAGGTGTTCGTCATATCTCACTTCCTAAGTCACTCGTTTTGCGTGTGTGGATACTAAGGTCTTTCAAAGCCCGTTGTTGTAAAACTTAAGTGTACCAAGTGGAGATGCGGGGGGTGAGAAAACACATTTCTTTGCAATACAGTGACACTTAAATAACAAAAAAGGCACAATACCGTGACTGGAAAAATACACAAATAACCCGCACATAGAAGAGAGGAGCTTACTACGACGTCGGATCGAAACGTTGTCGTAAGCTCCTCTCTTACGTGCGGGTTATTTGTGTAGAGTGAGACTTTGTGTGTGGCTACCTAACTTCAAAGTCTGGGGGAACAAAATAATTAGCTATCATTTAAAGATGTTTATAACATCTGGGCAAATATCATAGAGTAACCTAACATTATAGCTATTGCCACACTGGTAGTGGCTTGGTTGACAACGTTCTCAGCTTACAACCTGAGGGTCCGGGATAAAGCCTGGTGGGGGTCAAATGGTGGGCATCTTTACTAACATCTGCTGTCCCTGTTCACCTAGCAGTACGTAGGTACCTGGGTGTTTGTCGACTGTTGTGGGTAGCATCCTGGGGGACAAGATTAACACCTTCATTATTGGCCACACCACTGCTGGCCACACTTTCATCACTGACCACTCCCTCACTGCTGGCCCCACCTTCATTATTGGCCCCACCTTCACTACTGGCCACACCTTCATTATTGGCCACACCTTCTTTATTGGCCACACCTTCACTACTGGCCACACCTTCATTATTGGCCACACCTTCACTGCTGGTCACACCTTCATCACTGACCACTCCCTCACTGCTGGCCACACCTTCACTACTGGCAACACCTTCACTACTGGCCACACCTTCATTATTGGCCACACCTTCTTTATTGGCCACACCTTCACTACTGGCCACACCTTCACTGCTGGCCACACCATCACTGGACACACCTTCACTACTGGTCACTCCTTCACTGCTGGCCACACCTTCATTATTGGGCACAGCTTCACTACTGACCACACCTTCACTACTGACCACACCTTCACTACTGGTCACACCTTCACTGCTGGCCACACCTTTATTATTGGGCACACCTTCACTACTGACCAAACCTTCACTACTGACCACACCTTCACTACTGACCACACCTTCACTACTGACCACACCTTCACTACTGGTCACACCTTCACTACTGGTCACACCTTCACTACTGACCACACCTTCACTACTGACCACACCTTCACTACTGACCACACCTTCACTACTGGTCACACCTTCACTACTGGTCACACCTTCACTACTGGTCACACCTTCACTACTGACCACACCTTCACTTCTGACCACACCTTCACTACTGGTCACATCTTCACTACTGGTCACACCTTCACTACTGGTCACTCCTTCACTGCTGGCTACACCTTCATTACTGACCACTCTCTCACTGCTGGTCACACCTTCATTATTGGCCACATCATTATTGGCCACACCTTCACTACTGACCACTCCTTCACTACTGGCCACATCTTCACTACTGACCACACCTTCACTGTAAGCCACATCTTCATTACTGGCCACATCATCACTGCTGGCCACACCTTCATTATTGGCCACAGCTTCACTACTGACCACACCTTCACTACTGGCCACACCTTCATTACTGATCACACCTTTATAACTGACCACACCTTCATTACTGACCACACCTTCACTGTAGGCCACCCCTTCACTACTAGCCGCACCATCACTGCTGGCCACACCTTCATTACTGACCACACCATCACTGCTGGCCACACCTTCATTACTGACCACACCATCACTGCAGGCCACTCCTTCATTACTGACCACACCATCACTGCTAGCCACACCTTCATTACTGACCACACCATCACTGCTGGCCACACCATCACTGCTGGCCACATCTTCATTACTGACCACACCATCACTGTTGGCCACACAATCACTGCTGGCCACACCTTCATTACTGACCACACCATCACTGCTGGCCACACCTTCATTACTGACCACACTATCACTGCTGGCCACACCTTCATTACTGACCACACCATCACTGCTGGCCACACCTTCATTACCGACCACACCATCACTGCTGGCCACACCTTCATTACTGACCACACCATCACTGCTGGCCACACCTTCATTACTGACCACACCATCACTGCTGGCCACACCTTCATTACTGACCACACCATCGCTGCTGGCCACTCCTTCATTACTGACCACACCATCACTGCTGGCCACACCTTCATTACAGACCACACCATCACTGCTAGCCACACCTTCATTACTGACCACACCATCACTGCTGGCCACACCATCACTGCTGGCCACACCTTCATTACTGACAACACCATCACTGTTGGCCACACAATCACTGCTGGCCACACCTTCATTACTGACCACACCATCACTGCTGGCCACACCTTCATTACTGACCACACCATCACTGCTGGCCACACCTTCATTATTGACCACACCATCACTGCTGGCCACACCTTCATTACTGACCACACTATCACTGCTGGCCACACCTTCATTACTGACCACACCATCACTGCTGGCCACACCTTCATTACCGACCACACCATCACTGCTGGCCACACCTTCATTACTGACCACACCATCACTGCTGGCCACACCTTCATTACTGACCACACCATCACTGCTGGCCACACCTTCATTACTGACCACACCATCGCTGCTGGCCACTCCTTCATTACTGACCACACCATCACTGCTGGCCACACCTTCATTACAGACCACACCATCACTGCTAGCCACACCTTCATTACTGACCACACCATCACTGCTGGCCACACCATCACTGCTGGCCACACCTTCATTACTGACCACACCATCACTGTTGGCCACACAATCACTGCTGGCCACACCTTCATTACTGACCACACCATCACTGCTGGCCACACCATCACTGCTGGCCACACCTTCATTACTGGCCACACCATCACTGCTGGCCAAACCTTCATTACTGGCCACACCATCACTGGTGGCCACACCTTCATTACTGGCCACACCTTCATTACTGGCCACACCATCACTGCTGTCCACACCATCACTGCTGGCCACACCTTCATTACTGACCACACCATCACTGCTGGCCACACCTTCATTACTGGCCACACCATCACTGCTGGCCACACTTTCATTACTGGCCACACCATCACTGCTGGCCACATCTTCATTACTTACCACACCATCACTGTTGGCCACACCATCACTGCTGGCCACACCTTCATTACTGGCCACACCATCACTGCTGGCCACACCATCACTGCTGTCCACACCTTCATTACTGGCCACACCATCACTGCTGGCCACACCTTCATTACTGGCCACACCATCACTGCTGGCCACACCTTCATTACTGGCCACACCATTACTGCTGGCCACACCTTCATTACTGACCACACCATCACTGCTGGCCACACCTTCATTACTGGCCACACCATCACTGCTGACCACACCTTCATTACTGGCCACACCATCACTGCTGGCCACACCTTCATTACTGACCACACCATCACTGCTGGCCACACCTTCATTACTGGCCACACCATCACTGTTGGCCACACCTTCATTACTGGCCACACCATCACTGCTGGCCACACCTTCATTACTGACCACACCATCACTGCTAGCCACACCTTCATTACTGGCCACACCATCACTGCTGGCCACACCTTCATTACTGGCCACACCATCACTGCTGACCACACCATCACTGCTGGCCACACCATCACTGCTGACCACACCATCACTGCTGGCCACACCATCACTGCTGACCACACCATCACTGCTGGCCACACCACTGCTGGCCACACCATCACTGCTGACCACACCATCACTGCTGGCCACACCATCACTGCTTGCCACACCATCACTGCTGGCCACACCTTCATTACTGACCACACCATCACTGCTGACCACACCATCACTGCTGGCCACACCATCACTGCTGGCCACACCATCACTGCTGGCCACACCATCACTGCTGGCCACACCACTGCTGGCCACACCATCACTGCTGACCACACCATCACTGCTGGCCACACCATCACTGCTTGCCACACCATCACTGCTGGCCACACCTTCATTACTGACCACACCATCACTGCTGGCCACACCATCACTGCTGGCCACACCATCACTGCTTGCCACACCATCACTGCTGGCCACACCTTCATTACTGACCACACCACCACTGCTGACCACACCATCACTGCTGGCCACACCATCACTGCTGGCCACACCATCACTGCTGGCCACACCGTCACTGCTGGCCACACCTTCATTACTGACCACACCATCACTGCTGACCACACCATCACTGCTGGCCACACCATCACTACTGGCCACACCATCACTGCTGGCCACACCATCACTG